AGACAAAATGATCTTCATAGAAGATCTACATGGCAATAAAATTGACTTCCTATTCTACCAATTAAATCTATCTAAAAATTTTTACCTGTCACAACGTAATAATTTCTTAATATTCAATAATTTTATTAAATTCTAATTTTATTAATATAAGTTTATAAAAGTTATAAATTGTTATAATGTTTTCAAAATTTATCAAATATTTATAAATAGATTTTTAAAATTTTTTATTTAAATTATAAATATCTAAATGTTTTAATAAAAAGACTTTACAATTAATAAATATGATCATTATAAGAAAATTACAATTCCTGTATAAATAAGTAAAAGGAAAGAAAGAAAAACAATTATTATAAAGCTATTTTAAAAATTTTTTACTAATTTATTAATTGTAATAAATATTATACAATTTAAAATTGCCTAATACATGATTTATTATATTAATTGTTAATTATAAAAATTATGGGATATTAATATAAATAATTTCATGAGGAGTTAAATATATCACAGTTTTTTTTTATTATAACAGTTAACATTTTAGATGGTTTTAATTGGTAGATTAAGAAGTCAATTTTATTGCTATATAGATCTTTTAAGAAGATCATTTATTTTTTTTATTGCTGTTGATCATTATATAAATTCTTAGATATTAATTTTATTACCTTTGATAATCACATATATCATAGATGTCTATTTAGTTGCTTGCAGATCTAGCAATTTTATTGACATAACAAATTTATTGCCTAGTGAAATGGCAACTTTATTTCCTTCAATATTTTTATTTTAATTTATTTTATTAATTAATAATATGTATAAATACTTTATATTTTATTAAGTCTCATTACCTTTTTGATAAAGATTACTGATAAGATGACAATCTTTTAGATACTGAACTTACATATAATATTAATAAAGAAGTATAATCAACCAAGTATAAAACTTATCCTTCGCAACCCTTTGAAACTGTTATAAGTTATTTGTGATCATTTTTTTATTTATGTAATCCCTTTAATTACTGTTAGTAAACTTATTGTATAATATTGTATTAATTTGTTGTATTGACTTAAAGTCTCTAAAGTGTAATCTCTGAAATATCTATAAGTTATTTTTGTGTTTATTTTGTATTTATCTTACATGTTTTTATATTGAGAATAATCTTTGATGTTATTGTGAATTCTCATCCATGATTTTTGAGTAATTGTCTACATTTTTGAGATTTTATTTGAAGCTATAAAACTATCATAATACTGTAGAAAAAAAAACTATGGTATTTCAATCCTCATAAAATTATTAAGTTATACCCAATTATATGTGATTTGTGATAATTATTAACATTATTATTATTATATGTTCAATAATTTATTTATAGATTTTTTATACCTTTGATTACATATATAAGAATTATTCTTTTTTTTTCTTTTCATCAAAAAATTATTTATTTTTACTTGCATTTTAAAGATGGTATTATACATTCATCTTTTTTTAAATATAAATAAATCAAGGAAACGTTATTAATTAAATCAAATAATTTTACTAAATAGAACAGATTATCAATAACATATGAACAATCGTTATAAAATATTCAAATTTACTCTTATATTGCTAATACAATGATAATACAAAAACTAGGATGAATCTTTTTATGCTTATAGAAAAGCAGCCAATTTCTTCTAAAATTTTCCTAAAAAAAATGAAATACTTTATTGGAAAAATCAAGGTATTATAATATGCTGTATTAATTTTTTTTTACTTATAATCTAATAAATTACATATTTTTAGATTTTATTACTGCTTCTCAATTATTTTAACAATAAAAACATTCATTTGAAATAAAGAAGATTTAAACATTACAAATGTTTCGTCAAAAATTCCGCAAATTAATATTGAAAATGCTAATATAAAAATTGTCAATAATGTTAAAGTAGAGTTATTGTTAAAGCACTAGAATAGATAAAACGGCAATAATGTAAATTTATATATCTATAATAACAAAATAATTTGAAGTTATGAAAAGTTTATTACTGTGAAAAAAACAGTCTAAAAATTTCCAGAGAAAAAATGTTTATTTTAATCATTAGGGAAATTATGATATTCTATATCACAAGTCACACTTAGTGCGACGGGGTATAATTATGTGTATGTAAATATAATTTAATAGGCAGCAATATAACTTCTATTATGTTCAACAATATTTCCGGGTAATGTATGTTCACCGATATTAGATTTTAGTTCGTTTCTCCTTTTTTCATTCCATCTATAAATTAAATATCCACACGCAATAAAAATAACTAAACCTAATAATCCTCCTAATGAAGCGATTATGATTTTCATTGTACCTAATTCACTATTATTAGAATTAGCAACAATTATGGAAGCAGTTGGTATTGATGGTTCAGATTTTGTCGTTACATTTGTACTTGTTATTTCAAATGAATTAACCCATGTATAATTTCTAATATCCATTATATAAATATTAGGATTCGCTAATGGTAATGGAACAGAATTTGGTTGTGTAATATTGCCTATTATAAAATTAGAATTTATTACAAATTAATAGTTTAACTTTAAATTATTATTATATAACAATATAAAAATATACTTACCAAAAGCTATAATCATATAATTATCAACCAGGTTA